TCAGTAGCTGGCACACTGTCAGTGCAATCCATATAACAAGGATTTGGGGTTGTGGGAAAAATGGCGGAAGCAGTGTTATATATGCCTCTTTGAGGTTCTAGGGGGAAAGCATATTATAAATATAATACACAATCTGATCAACAAGATAGGCAAGTATGAATAAAATAAAATAATTTAGTATGTGCAAATGTCTATCGAAGCTACTTGAGAGGTAAGATCAGAACATTTGCAAAGCAATGGCTATTTTAGCCATTTATTTCTTTATTGCTTTTGTAAGGCCATCTAAATTCCTAATTATTCTGGGCGTCACATTAAAATACAGTTAAAATAATACAGAAGAACAATAGGCATTCAGCAGCAATAAAATTGTAATCCACATATTTTCAGAAGGGGCCCCATGCATTCCCTATCTCAAGGTTTGAGGAAGGGCTCCGGTTTTCAAGGCTTGTTTGATCAAGGTCAGGATAGAAGCTGTTTGGATATAGTGGCGGGTGTGTGTGTGTTAATGAAAAAGCAGAATTTGGATTTTCAAAGCCCTAGATCCCTACTGCTCCATTTATTTAATGGAGGATGGGAACTGGGCATGCTGCAAAGCATTGTCGCAATTTCTGGATCTTCATGAACCCAGTAGAGGTTCCAGGAAAGACCTTTGCCATCTGTTTAGCAAAAAATTCTCTCTGGAGCTTGTCTTGTTGTCTTCAAGCTATTTTTATTTATTTATTTTTTAATAAATTATATGGCTGCCCAACTCACTCTCAGTGACTCCGGGCAGCTTACAAAGATGACACATTTGATAATGTATCAAGATAACACGATCAGAGAAAATAGTTATAATAAAAAGTGAGTTTTTATACATAATTATTCTCAACTAACTGTCTTTGGTCTCATGACTTTGTAATGTAGCTACCCATTGTGATGAGAATGTACACTGATAGTTGCTATTCCTGCCTTGAATTGCTGTTTTCCTTTATAAATCTGGCACTTAGATGAGTGAGACCAAATTAATTCTAAATAACTTTATGCCATATTTGTTTCCCCTCTTTTTACTGCTTTCGTGTTTTTGTTTTGTAGGTCAACTATCTTAGGAAAGACCTGAAGACAATAATCTATAAATATACTAGAAGAAACTAAGTCAGCAAAACTACTTTGCACTATGGATTCCAAAGATGCCTATTTGGGATTTAGAATATTTTATTCTTTATTTTTGTGTGCGTTTGGGGGCTCTCTAACGCAATTAACTGGATTCATCAGAAAGACTCAAGTGAGTTGTCTTTTTACTGCACACAGTGTTGCTACAGCCAATATGGAACCTTATAGTGACAAGCCAGTCGAGATTTGATCTTGGCTTTATCAGAACCAAGTCCTTATTGCTATTTAAACTTGACTTTCTAAAAGAAAAAGCAAGAAAAGTCATGGTGCTGCAATCCAAAACAGTCTCCACGGATGAGTACAGGGTTTGTATCTCAGAAGCAGGGTGAATCTGATAATAACTCAAAGAGAACTGTGAAAAGTAGATGTTGCCAATTACATTATGCTACTACATATTTTTCCTCCACAATCCTCAGCCTCAATGAAGAATATTCCAACATCAGGAAATAAATGACTAATAGAAAACCATATTAAAATAACCCACGTATGCTACTTTTTTAATATTGAAAGTTTCGAGCTGTTGAAGATGTGTTATGTCTCCTTCCGTTTGGAGTCCGAATCATCTTTGATCTTCATAGGGAACTCCTAAGCTCTTCAGATGACTTCTCCTGTGACCCTTATGATATAAAGCATGTAGCATATTCTCTAGTTCTGTTGACTGTTGAGATGCGACAGTCTTTAAAGAATCTTGCATCGTTAACAGAAAGGAAATCTGTTAAGGACTGCAACAGTTGCTTTCACCTACTTATTTTCTCTTTATCAGAGAAAAGAAATATTTTGGAAAAGATAATCATGTGATAGTAGGGCTCTTATCTCTAGTGTGTCTTACAGTCTATGAATTGTTGCACTGAAATTATCAATACCACGTTCCTAAGATGGGTCCCTTATTTTATGGTTCCTCTGTGTAGGCGATGGCCACTGCCTCCCAGCTATGGCATTCTTTCTCGAATTCCTGACTTCGAGATGCATTTAGGGCTACAGATTTGGGAGCTACAGGGAAAGTTGACTAATGGGGAATGAACAATCAGGCAGTAATATGTCTGCCATAATGCTTAGTGGGAGGGCAAGCAATGGTTGCAAATTATACTCAAATAGCCTTTTTATAAGTAACGGGAGTAAAACAAATCCATAGCTTACTGCTTACTGTGTAGAATTGCAGTAAAGTGAAAATCTTCATTTTAATAACTGGGATGTTTTCATAATAAAATTGTATCAGAAAGACTTATAATTCAGATTCTGACATTTGCAAGTAATATCCAGCACAGCGTGGGCTTGGCTTGAGAATTACAGGTAGCTGATGCCACATATATAGATGAGACTCATGCCAATGTACATATTTTATGCATCAGTTAAATGCATTCCAAGATTCAACCAGTTCCAACATAGGACATTGGCACAGTGACCAATAGGTGGAATTTAGAGAGTTCACTCCTGCCTTCCATCATATGCAAGAGTTTGGCATGCTGGTCAAAATCTCAACTGGTATTACATGAACAGTAAAGCAGTCATTAGGCACTGGATAGGTTTGAACCTTAATTTGCTTCTGAATATGTCTGTATTGAAATTCTATCATATTCCTTCTGGGTATTGTCACAAGGAGCCTTTTTGTTTCTTTTAGTAAAGCAATCTTAGGTTCTAGAATATAACTTTAAGTTATTTATCTGCACAAGCCTTCTTGACAACCTATTTCTTTCCATTACATCTACTTCACAGTGTGCTGAAATGTTTAATACCAGTCTAAATGAATGATTTTTCATTTAAAAAAAAATGTTGATCTGACCCTAGTTAGATATTTGTGGCCTATGACAGATTAAGAAAGAATTTTGTGCATGCGCACATTTTCCTCAGGCAACCAATCAGTGAATATATAAATATAGCTACTGTGTATGATCAATTCTAAACTTGTGTCAAATTCAACAGTTTATGCACCTACTATGTCACAATGTAGTAGCTTTCATGTAGCTATTGCAAAAGACCTACAGTATTTGAATTATCTAGATCATGGGTGTCAAACTTGCCACATCATGTTGCCAACATGTGACTTTTTGCAACTTTTTCCATTTCCCGGAGCTGGGGTAGGCGTGGCCTACGCATGACACACCTGAACCATGGGCCACCAGTTTGACACCCTGCTATAGATGTATTCAGACCGCTTCAGTAACCATCTCAGCATCTGAATAGGAAGCAAGATAAATTTATTTCTCTATTTGTTAGCTCTTTTCTGTAGTAAATTTTGAAAAATGGAGGAATGCCACAAAAATATAGTGAGGTAGATGTCTCAGATTTTAAACAGGAAAAAAAGAACATCTAAGTTGTAAGAATGTTCAGTCTGATGGAACTAGAATAGATAGGAAAAATGGTTAGAAATATGTCTAAAAATACTGTATGTAGAAAGAAACATGGAATGTCAAAAATAAATCCAGAATTGTTTCTTTTGGATTGGGCTACTGGCTGAATAGATATTGAAAAAAGTACAAAAACAGTATGCCTTAATTTCAGCAAAGCATCTGACAAATATTTTGTGGCAAAATGTCTTAATTGTGTTTTTGCTGGCAGTGACGTTCATAGATGAATTCACAGTTGTAGAATCAATGAGTTCTTATCAATTATTCATTAAATCAAGGAAACATTTGAATGAGGTGCCATAGTAGAAGCGTATACTTCAACCATTGATCCATCTTAGATGCAGAGAAATCTTTTTTCCAGATGATCCATAATATGAATAACTGTTACCTCATAGCAGTAACCCATTCAAAATGCTATTGATGGAAGGCTGAGTAAGATCATATAAATTGCAGCATAACACAGTGCAAATGTCTGCCTTCAGGTGTGCTCAAATTCAGAACACTAATGTATGGTAGACAACATCTGGTTTAACAGTGGTACATGAGGTTTCCAGATTATAACAAATGTGAAAAAGCTACAAAACAGTGCCATGAACATTAATAGAACCATAATATTAGGAACAAGAATAAATACTTCCTTATTTGGGACTAATCAGATTTGTCTGGTCCTGTATATGTTTTTGAATAAGAATTAAGAAAGATGAGACAAACACGAGAAAGATGAGATGGGTACTTTTCAAATACCAGACGGTCTGATGTAGAAAACAAGACAATGTTGCTTCGCTTCTTATCCAAAAGACAGGATTAATCTAATGGGCTTAAGTTAGGGAAGATGAATGTTGACTGAATGGTAGGAAGAAGATGAAAGAGCCATTTTATAATGGTTTAATGATAATTCACTGTTCTGCATGAGAAAATTTGCAAAGCAAATTGTAACTTAGAAGTGCAAAATGCCTAATTAAACCCCAAAACAATGATAATACAAATCTTAAAAACATAATAAACATAACAAAAAATGTGGAGGAGGAGGCAATATTCTGGCTGCCTTTGAACTAAGCCCAGAAGCCCATCTGGAAGATATTCTTATGCAGGATTTCCTGCATTTACAAAGGGTTGAATTACTAAATATCCCACAGTTGATACTAATAGGATTATCCCATTAGATTATTAATAATAATCTACTAAAAGATGACTTAGATTTAATAGACCAAATACGTAGTGATGTTTTCTTTTGCTGAAGAGAACACAGCTTTTTCTCCTTAAATGCTACTAAATAAATCCAAGGATTATATTAATTCACCTTTGTCTGAAAGTAACTCTAACTGTAGCCAGATTTTAACAATTGACATATTTGACTTTCTGAGATCATGGTGATCAAATGTATTTCTACTTATTTAAGTAAGAGTGATAAAATAATATATGCATATTAGAATGCTGAGATTGATTTCTCAGCTAGTATCGGTTGCAAATATTTCATTATTTGTATTTGCAAAGTGTGATTTGTCTAGGTATAAAAAACAAAGCAAATCTGTATTTCAGATACATAATATGAATACATTGTACACACTCTTTCAGAAAGCATAAAACCCAATTTATTGAATGAATAGTACATACTAGGTTTCACAGGAGGAAAATATTCCAAATAATTCACCTATATTTCATCAGAAACTTATAAATGGATTCAGCTCTGCATACTGAAAATTGCTAAGCTTATGAAAGAATCCTCAGTCTTCGGCTGAAACTGAGCCTCTGGTCTGACCTTATACAATGAGCAAGGCAGTCATTTTAAACTGAGTTATGGACATACTGAATGCATTTTTTAAAAATGCAGCCTGCCTAAGATTGGAAATGCAATTTGTTATCCATTTAATAGGAAAAGGCAGTATTTCTTTCAGCTGTAGTTCTGGAATCATATTCACATCATTACAGAAATTTAGAATCTTGAGATGAATGTAATTACTTCAATTCCATTTAAAACGTTTCAGAATGAGATAATCCAAAACCTAAGCAACAGTCAAATACATTCGAATCGGTGCTGCTTTCACTAAAAGTATAGTAAGAATCAATTATGGCAATGAATAACTTTCATGAACCACTACGGAATGAGAACAGTCTGCTTCTCAAACAGGTGAGGAATGAACTGCACGATCAAAACAAAGCTTTCATTTATCTAACTATTATTATAGTAGCTAATTTTAATAACTAGCACCAGTCACTAAAATGTGACCGTAAATGTGACTCCCTGTAAAATACCTGATGTTTTTTAGATTTAAAACTTGATGTGATGCCAGTTTTCATTTAATAAAATAATTACTGAATCCCACCTACAATAACCATACAGCGTATTGTATGTGTAAATACCAAACCATAATTGGTGCTATGGAAATGCCTAGCACTCTTCTTATCTCCTACCCTGCTTAAAAAATTACTGGTCCTATTCAATTCTCCTTGAATGAAAATTCTACGAAGGAAGAGGGATTAATGATATACGGGTAGTCCTCAATTTATAACCATTTGTTTAGTGACTGTTTGAAGTTACAAGGCACTGAAAAAGTGATTTATGACCATTTTTGTCTATGACCATTGCAGCATCCTCATGGTTACATGATCAAAATTCAGGCGCTTGGCAACTATTTTGCTTAGTGGAAATGTTTGGCTGGATTATGGTTGCAAGTAGAGAGGACTACCTGTAACTCTGCCAGGCTGACTTCCTTTGCCAGGCTCATAGCTTTCAATA